TCATTGTTGTTGTTAAGTGTTGTTGAGTCAGTTCTGACTCATTGGGCAAGGAGCAGGTGGCGAATTTGAACCACTGACCTTGTGATTCAAACTGATCTTGTGGTTCAGTGCTCTATCCCACAGCGCCACCCAGGACTCCTTTCAGGCTTCATGTTGCTATTAAGTGCCATCGAGTCTATTCCAACCCATAGCAACCCTGTATAGGGTTTCCAAGGAGCAACTGGTGAGCTTGAACTGCTGGACTTTCAGTTCAAACCAACTTTGCAGTCCAGTGCATTAACCCATAGTGCCACACACCTGTAAACCTGTATAAGTGGACCTTCTACTGTTGTAGGGGAAAAGAAGAGCACTGATTTTTTTTTTTTTGTAAATGGAGTCAGCATTTATTATCAGCTCATAAGTAAGAATCACTGAACTATACCCAAAGAAAGACCAAAGAGTGAGCTGAATGTTGAAGGCATCATGTTTGATATACTAACATAGGAAAGAATGTTTTTCAGTCTCCAGACCCGACTCCTAATCTTAATGTGTGATACTGGTAGATGAAAAAGAAGAGTGTGGATGACAGCCTGCTTTACCATCTCTGTTGGGAAACCAGTTTACAGTATATGTCATTCAATAGTGACTTGATTTGGGACTACAAAATATATTCATATTGAGAAGATAACTACACTAGCCTTGTTTAGAAAATCATACCCCAAGCTTTTTTCACTTCTAGGAAAGGGTTTGGGTGTCTCGCTCTAAGCTCAACTTATATCTATAAAAAGAGAAAGCTTCCAGACTGATGGACTTCTCTAACTTCCTTTACTTTTCTCACTGCAGTTTCTTCAAGAAGATGAAATGGAAAAACTTGAGGAGCTTGTCGAAAAATACCCTTGTGCCTTCCCTCGCTGGGTTGGGCCATTTCAGGCATTTTTGTATATCTATGATCCAGACTATGCAAAGACCCTTCTGAGCAGAACAGGTAAGAAAAGAGACAGATCTCTTACCCTAATCTCCTAGAAGTGGTATGCCCTGAACACAAAGGCAGAATTCTAAAGGATGCAAACAATTCCTGAGGCAAAGGTTAGTATCAGCCTATTAAGAGACATTGAAGAAAGTATAGAAAGGATTCTACAAATACTGAAGGAAATTCCCAAATCTTCCCCAATTCCTTGTCTAGTTCAAGACTCCCCTTAAAGTCCAGTTGGCCATCACCAGATATTCCAGAACCAGAGACTTCCTTTGTTTCTTGGTTTTGTCATTTTAGCAACAGTAACAACCCCCAGCCATATCGTTGAATTCATGTCTTCAGAGGAAACCAAGAGCAGCTCCTTCACCTGCTGGTTCAGTTTGTAAACCTGGATGCTAAATTGCTCATTTATCAGTCTAACCTCTTTACTGTGGTCTAAATTTTGTTTTTCTTTTAGGCATATTTCTCAACTGTGTTCTCTTTTAGGGTATGAGTCATCTACCTACATCATCCAATTCTTTTTCATAGGTGGATAATCTTATACAGTAGTATAAAACTAAAATGTCTTTTTTTTTGCTCTATTGATTTTGTACAACCAAGGTGCCTTATTCTAATATTTATTTCTTAGTCTGTTCTTATCACCCTTAATAAAACATAATAAAATAAAATGTACTTTTCCTGAAAGTCTCTGTGTTTCCCAGTCTAATGGTCTCATGCTCACCTCTTAAAGGATAAGATATGAAAAACACCTCCAGGTCTGTGTTCACAAGACCATCAAGAAGCATTTGCATCTTTCTCTCTGGTGCCTGCTGGACTCTGTTCTAATAATCTGTTTTCCAAAACGGAGATGATGTGTTTTCTGTTCCACAAGTCACTAAGTAGCACAGTGTTTTATACATGACTGCAAACTGTTAAGGTTGGCGATTTGAGCCCACCCAGTGCTACTGCACCAGTCATTGAAGAAGGCTATCATGTTTAGTAAAGTGGAAGGTCAGAGAAAAAGAGGAAGACCCCTAATGAGATGGATTGGCCAAGTGGCAGCATTGATGAACTCAAGCATGACAACAGTAGTGAGGATGGCCCAGGATCGGGCAATGTTTTGTTCTGCTGTGCATAAGGTCGCTATGCATTGGTACCAATTCGATGGCACCTAACAACAACAACAGTGCTACTGCAGAAGAAAGGGACTGGTCATCTGCTTCCATTAAGATTACAACAACAACAACAAATCCTTTGGAGCAATTCTGTTCTGTACAGATGGGATCACCATGATTTGTAATCAACTTCAAGGAAACAAGAACCTACTGTACCAACTCCTGTGATGGGAACTTTGCAACCCTCTGGAAACCTTTGTTTCTGCTAGAGGGAAAGTAAACAAGGGAAGAATTTGAGTTTGCTTGCCTGTTTGTTTTATGGGCATTGCTCTTCTCTGATTCCTAAATCAGAGTTTGTCGTTCCCCAAGCTTGCCAACAGCTGTAGGGAGAGAACATTGACTTCTTTTTGCTCACTATTTGTAGTTGCTATTCTTATTAAGTGCTGTCAGGTCGGTTCTGACTCATAATGACCCTGTATAGGGTTTCTGATTTGTAGTTAGTACAGACAAATTGAGATTGACTGGTAATTTCTTCCCAATGCTGTCTGTTTCCTGCAGATTCCAAGTCCCAGTTTCCGAACCAGTTCTTGAGTCCATGTACTGGTATGTATTGGTATCCTCGCTCTGCAAATGAGAGGCGCAACCCAAATAAAAGTGGATTTCTGCTCTTGCCTAAGCAAGTCCCCTTCCCACAGTGGACATTTTGAAGAAACTCAAATCTGACTTAAAAAACATTAAGAGTAAGATAGATCTAGACTGAAAGTTATCTAGAAGAAAGGCAAAGAGGAGCTATAAAGTGTTTAAAAATCATCAGAACTCAAAGAAATTGAAATGTAAAGTTTATCCTGAGCAGTTGTTGCATAGAGAGAGATCATTCTGATCCTCACCCCCTCCAAAAGATAAAGTAGGCTAGTTACAAAGAGACTGATAAAGTGAAGAGGAGGGAGAAGAGAATATTGACCACTAGTTAATCTTGAAAATGATCAAATGTATCCTGGTGCTGGTGATGGTTTGCCCCTTTATATTGAGATCAGTTGATGGTATGATACCTTTTGACATTTAAATTAGGCAAGCCAGTCTTCAACTATGGGGTGGGGGAGGGGAAGATGAACAACTTTGGGTGAAAAAAAAAACATGTCAAGATAAATTTGGGGTGAGAAATTTTTACATTTCCCCCCTTTATGTTATATTATAATATGATACTTGATTTCATGGGGGCTGTAAACTTAAAATTGAAGTAAAGTTTCTGTATTAATTTTTCTCTTTGACAAAAGATCAGCATAGACAACTTCCTAGAAGCCCTTATCCATTTGCATCCCCAGAGTCTCATTCTCAAGGTAGCTTAGGAGTGATTCTGTTGCCTCTCTGTAAAACTACAGCCTCACCATCCCTTTCTTCTCTTTTCTGGGATCTTTTTCTTTCTATTAAAAGTTTTTTCTTCCAATGAGCAAAATATGTGAAGCTTTAAAGTACAATTTGACAATATTCCTTGAACAGATAAATTAAGCCCTGCAGTGTTATGTTGGAAAGAATATGGCTTTGGATTCAGAATCACTTACATGAGTTTGTGAATCCAGGCCCCCTCTGATTAGTTGAGTGTGATCCTGGAGAAGGTACTTACTCTCTCTAAGTTTCAGTTTCTTCGTCTCAGAAAATGAGAATGAGAGTTACATCTCTATGCTGGTGTGGAGATTAAATGAGACACATATAGTATAATGCCTGATATTGTACCATTGTGAACCATGTATAGCAAGACTCGTATGTTGTAAGAACTCAATCTATGATGGCAGTTATATATTAATAACATTTTTAAGTCTTTATAAACCAAATCTTCAGTGGTTTCCTTAGCAATAGAATGATGTGAAGGATTAGCTTTAGTAAGTGTTTCTGCTTTGTGTCAGTCACAGGTGTGAAGACCACAGACCAAGGCTCAGGGAGATGTCTGGTATCAGAGTAGACACCCTTGTTTAATTCCTTGTGCATTTTGTGTTCACAATTGTAGTAGAGAAACATCCTGGACTCTGCTTAAAGTTAAAAAGAAAACAAAAACAGAGGTTCATTGAGGGATACAGATGGTCCAGACCAGGAAGATATCCAAATTCACAAAATGAAACTGACTCTTCAGCCAAAGAGAACAAATACATTTTTGTTTAATCAGAGCAGGAACTAAAAGTTGCAAAGTCATAATTGATTAAAAGACAATCAGGGAAGACAAAGGTGGGATATCCATAAGCAGGGATTTGGCAGGAATAAGTGACTGGCACATAAGTGAGAATGTCTGATTGGCTAAAAGTACGTGCCCTTTAGGTTTTACAGGGTGATTACCATACAGTGACAGGAAAAGTGTTTCTGGTAGCGTGTCAGCTAAATTACTTCCTCAATCATGTCTGTTTCTAGGGGTCCATCATAAAGGTTTACTAATAATGCTGTGCATCATGACCTTTTCTAGTATAAACAACCACATCTTGCATCTGACCATAGTGAAAAGACCCTTTGGAAATTGTGAACTATTGCATCTGCCAGACCTGAGAAGAGTAATGTCTTCTTTGAGATAGATGGTTATGTCTGCATCAAGGTTAAAGGGCCTGCTGCTTGAAAAGACAGCTTTTAAATTCAGCATGGATTGTAGACTCACGCCAAGCATCTATGCACAGTGTAGTTTATGTTTCGGTTCCGGGTGGAGAGAAAATATTTGTCTTGTTTCTATTATGAGCTAAGGACTCAGCTTAGTGCCTTATAATCAAGGAAGATTCAATAAGTTGCTGGAAATATATAATTGAAAGATAATAGAAGTTTTCCAGGAACATTTTTAAGTCCCTTCATATATGGTGGCTGTGTGTCGTGGAGTCGGTTCCAACTCATAGAGACTCTCTACAGGTTTTCTGAGGCTGTAAATCCTTATGGGAGCAGAACACCTCATCTTTCTCCCGTGGAACAGCTGGTAGTTTTGAACTGCTGACCTTGTGGTTCACAGCCCAATTTGTAACCACTACGCTACCAGAGCTCCTCATATATGGCCTGACAATCTGCACAGTGACACAGTGACATATTTATTATCATACTTTATAATCTGAGAAAAACCAAGCTTCAGGAATTTAAGTAGCTTGCTCAATTACATAGGTAATGTTAAAAATAATCATAACTAAATGAAATTTTAACATAAGGTTGATTCTGAACAGTTATTCTATATACATATAGGAAGAACATTTTGATTCCTGACTCAAAAAAAACAACAACAGATTTCTCGAAGAAGCTAGGTACAACAAAACTTATAAAAAGAAGAAGAGGAGAAAATTTTACGAATCGGGCTGTGAGCCGCAAGGTCAGCAGTTTGAAACTACCAGCGTTCTGCGGGAGAAAGATGAGGCGGTCTGCTTCCTTAAAGATTTACAGCCTCGGAAACCCTGTGTAGGGTCGCTGTGAGTCGGAACCAACTCCACGGCACTTAACAACAACAACAACAATTGGCTAATCTTAACATGATTGATTGAACTCTGACTTCTTCCTTTTTCTGAGACCAATGGGTATCAGCTCACCAGATGTTCTCTGTCCCTCCACACAGCTATACATTTTGAAATTCAAATTTATTAAACCTGACTTCAAACAGGAAAGAAAGGATTTGCAACTTTGAGAAAGGGAAACCTACTGACAGATTATTTTGGTCACATTTTTTTAAAGTGGATATCAGGTTTCATGAGTAAGAAAACCCCAAAATCAAAGCAAGACATCTGCCATCAGTTTCTCTCTTTGGCAGGAGGAATTGATGATTTCAGGACTAGCACTGTATTTTATCAGACTTCAAAATGTGAGGTATTTCCCACACTATTGGTTTTACCCAATGCCCAGATATAAACCAAAGATTTACCTCAATCCTAATATCCCATCACTGCTTCACAACTGTCTATCTAATAGTCACTCCTCTCTGTCAGTCTTCTTCACCTCTCTTTCATCTCATCTAATAAAATAGCATGAGGTTTTGTGCCTTTTATTTCTCAAGGAAAAGGACTGTTGAATCTAGATGGACCCAAGTGGTTCCAGCACCGCCATCTCCTAACCCCTGGATTCCACTTGAACATCCTGAAACCATATACTGAGGTGATGGTCCAGTCTGTGAACACAATGCTGGTAAGTGAAGTAAATATCGTGTTCTGGTGTATTGTAAAATGGCTCCAGTAGGAATGTAATAGGCATGTTTAGTGGGTAGTGAAAATCCAGAGATTTCTAGAAACTAATAATGTATAAGTACTGATTGAGCAACAAATATGTATAGTTTTGCAAAGTTCTTTGGGAGATTAAGCAGTGATGATGTGGGTCTCTATCTTAGATGTATTTCAGGATAAAAGCAGGAACTGATAAGATTTGGACAATATGTGGTGTATATGAGAAGTATAGTTGCCAGAAGCAGTGAAATTTACTGTGAAACATAAGTTGGAATTGAATGTGTAGATAATAAAAGGGGACTTCAATAAGTTTGTGGAAAAATTCTAGTATCTTTTAACTCCATTTTCCATGACATTTTTGAAGCTCCCTAGTATAGATAATGGAATTCTGGTGTGGTGCTGTAAGATAAGCACTGGGCTGCAAGGTAGATTTGAACTGAAAGGTCAGTGGTTCAAACTCACCAGTAGCTCCTTGGAAACCCTATGCAGGGTTGCTATGAGTCGGAACCGACTCAACCCACACTTAACAACAGCATAGATGAGAGAATTCTAGTTAGAGTGAACTAACCTGAACAAAGATGTGGGAGTTGGGATGGACTTACCTTCTATTAAGACCAAAAAAGACCATCAAAGAGTGAATGTCTAAACCCCCGAAATGATTGTCTTGAGATCATCTTTTTCAATGGAACCAAAAATATCTGCTGAAGTCTTTTAAAACCAGATAATAGTTTAGATTAACTAGTAGAAAAATTATCTTTTTGAGTCTTATGCCCTTTAAGAAATATCTATATGGGGTCAACATGATAACAGTAATTTGACAGATTAGATAAGAACCGTAGGGAGGCAGTGAGTTCAGTGGAAGAACAGCTCAAAAAAGAGGTTTACACAACTAAAACAATGTAGTCAGTGTGACTGAATTGTACATGTCGAAACAGTTGAATTGGCTTATGTTTTATTGTGCAATTCTCAACAGCAATATTTTTAAATAATAAAAAGAGTAAGCATCTACATTCAAGCCACAAATGCAGGTTTCCTTCTATAGGTACTGGAGGCTCATTAGGAACAGACCTGTAAGAAAACACAGCACAGGAACATTCTTATGGGCAATCTCTGATTTATAAATGAGTTCTATTCCAAAATGCCATTGAACATTAGTTTCAGGGTTGTGGTTATTAATTGGGCTGCGAACCTTAAGGTCAGCAGTTCGAAACTACCAGCTGCTCCGCAGGAGAAAGATGAGGCTTTCTACTCCTGTAAAGATTTACACCCTTGGAAACCCTGTACAGGGTCGCTATGGGTCGGAACCAACTCAACGGCACTTAACAACAACAACAACAATTTATTTTATAGTTAGGTAATTCATTAGTACAAGTTATCATAAACATTTCAAATAACACACAGAAAGCCAAAGTCTTCCTCCACCCTCATCTGCAAACCCATCCCTTTTGCCAAAAGGAATCTCTTTTACCAGCTTCTTGATTGGACTAGAGCAAGCTCAGAGAAGCAGATTTTACCTGAAGTCTGATCAGGTTTTGGTGATACTACCACTGTGAAGTCTCAATACAGACAACTACATGTTACAGGATAGAGGAACAAAAGTATTCTCTTCTGATTCCGATGCTTTCAGAATTAAACATGATTTGAAAACAGTCAATGTTTGTATTTGAGTTTAGTTTAACAAGTACTTATGTGCCTCATATACACTTTCCTCATTTCTCAGTTCCACATTTGCTGAGTTGTTCCCAAGTGCCTCAAGCTTTAAAAACCTAACCTTTGCTCTCATTTCTTCTAAACTCATTTTTATTCAGTAAACTGTAGCTAATTCAGGATGAAATATAGCAGATTAAACAATTGACAATTTGGTAAATGTTTAAAAAAACTTTTGCTTTTTATTCAGAGTCTCTGAATCCTTACTACCTAGCATAGTGTCTATAAGTATACAACAAATGTAGGTGGAACTGAATATAGACATCTAGACAGATTTGTATATTTTACACAAAGAGTACTTGTTATTAAAAATGCATTTTTAACTGAAGACTATATAGTTGTTGTTGTTAAGTGCCATCAAGTCAGTACCAACTCATACCAACCCTATACACAACAAAACACTGTGTGGGCTGAGCCAACCTCACAATCGTTGCTACACCTTAGCCCATTGCTGCTGCCACTTTGCCAGCCATTTTGTTGGGGATCTTCCATTTTTTTCTCCAACCCTCCATTTTACCAAACATGATATCCTTCTCCAGTGACTGATCTCTCCTGATATTATGTCCAAAGTATGAGAGACAAAGTCTGGCCATCCTGGCTTCCAAGAAGCACTCTGGCTGCACTTCTTCCAACACAGATCTGTTTGTTCTTTTGGCAGTCCATAACTCAAATGCATCAATTCTTCTATGGTCTTCCTTATTCACTGTCCAGCTTTCACATGCATTGGACCACAAGGTTGCTTTAAACTGCAATGTTGTCAGTTCACATTCACCAGTCACTCTTCAGAAATCCTATACAGGGTCACTATGACTTAATGGTACTTAACCACAACAAAGTGCCCAAAGTAAGCAGTTGACTTATTTACTTATATGACCTCTGGTTTCTGCTAGGTCATGGTTGTCTTTTTTAGAGCATAGAGCAGGGTACATGGAGAAACCATCAGTTTGATAATGGTGATGATGCTCGTCTTCACTTCTTATGCCAGGATAAGTGGGAGAAGATGTTAATCACTCAGCACACAAATGTGGAGGCCTTTGAACACATCAACTTGATGACCCTGGACATACTTTTAAAATGTGCTTTCTCCCAGAAGACCAACTGTCAAATAAACAGGTCAGTAACTAGAGAGTAAAAATGATTATATGTGAACCCTTATTAAAGTCACTTATTAACACATTGTCTTAACTTTCTTTTCTAGCACCAATGACCCTTACGTAAAAGCAGTACTTGAACTCAACAAAATCATCTTTTACCGCATGAACAGCTTCTTGGAACACCATGATATAATTTTCAATTTCAGCCCTGAGGGTCACCACTTTCAGGAGTTACACCAAGTATTACATCACTATACAGGTATTTCTTGGATTTGAGTTGCGCATGTCCATACACTGTCATCATCATAGTGTGTCTGTCTAGAAGGTTAGTTTCCAATGTGAAAAAAAGAAATAATATTGTCCTTAATTGAGCTTTTAGATGGACACTGATCAAATGAAAGAAAACTGAAGTCCTTTGAAAGAGATTGCTACATCCATGGTAGTAATTATTCTTGTCAGAACTTTTCTCTGTATCTTGCAATTTTTATTATTGGTAACTATAACTAGTAGAAATGCAACTAGTAGACATTTGAAATTTCAAAATACACATGCCATATTTTTGTGTGTGCAGTGATTGCAGTAATAATGATAGCATAGTAATGAACGGGAGGGCAGAGCACACATGAACACAAACTTCAAAAAAAACTTGGTTCAGAAATAAATAGAATTACACTTAAAAAACCAGACTGAGACCTAGAGAACAAACAAGATGG